TGCTCCTGGAACCACGGAAGCTGTGCTCATCACTTCACGGGCACGTGTGCGTATGGTGCGTTGTGCAGTTCCACGCGAGCATGGTGGGCAAGGTGGAGCTGGCGCTGTTGGATCTTCAGGGCGCCGAGACGCCGGACTGCTGGGCCGCACTCGAGGTGGGGATGGGGTGGGATGGGGTGGGATGTTGTGGGCTGAGGTGAATGGGTGCCATGGGTGATGGAAGTGATGGAGGGGATGTTGGGTGAGCGGTGCGCCCTCCATGGTGAAGCAGGCGTGTCGTAGTGTGCGTTGAGTGATGCATACCTACAATCACGCCACCATCATCACCACCACCACCACAACCGCCATCACCAATTACCAATCACCACTCATCACAAATTGCCACCTGCAGGGACTGATCGCCAATCGCACTGACGAGGAGACAGCGGAGCAGGCGGCAGAGTTGGTCGAGGCGTTCAACCAGCGGCCAGGTGCACACATGATCTTGATGGAGGGAAAAGGGGAGGGGTGTACGTGTGTGTGCTGAGAGGGGGGGGGGGTTCCTGTGATAAGTGTTCATGCACACACACACACACACACACACACACACACACACACACAGACACAGACGCACATCCTTACCCTCATTCCCCATCCCCTTTCTTCAGTGCTGGACGAGGTGCTGCGTGATCCCGGCTGCGTTTCCACATGGACAACTTCGCATTCGCCACACGCACACGCACACGCACACGCACATGTTGGGGAGCGGCGGTCATCAGGATCGCTCCGACAGCGGCGACTGAAGAGGTGAGGAGACACGTGGTGGTAGAGGTGTTGTGAACGCGGTAGTGGTGGTAGTGGTGGTAATGGTGTTGGTGTTGGTGTTGGTGTTGTGTCGTGCTGCACTCTGTGTAAGCTGCGCGTTGGCTTAATCATTGCATCTCATCACTTTCTACTTTGCGCTGTGCAGTCCGCTGACGAAACCGATTGCGTGGATCCGATCAAAGCTCCACCGTAAGCGCCCATGACGATGGTTTCTTGCAAACATGCACACACGCACACTTACACACTTACACACACACACACACAGACGCACGCTTGCTGGCATGCTCGTGATATTGCTTGTCCGTCGTTGCTGACTGCATTGCACATGCACGTCTGATAGGATCTGAGAAGAGTGGATCGCCAGGATCATCGTCAAGGTGAACACCATGCACACATACACACAGCAACATACACACAAGCACACATACACACAGCAACATACACACAAGCACACACACACACACACACACACACACACACACACACACACACACACACGCACACACACACACACACGTGCACACACGTGCACACACACACACACACACTAACACAACTCGCTTCGCCCCGCCATGCCACTGCCAACGCAGGTCGCGGCGGACCACCATCGATGCACTGCCGTCAGATGACGACGACCACCACCACCACAATGACGATGGTGATGACGATGGGGAGTTTGATGAGGATGACAGCAGCGACCACCATGACCACCGCCACCACCATGACCACAACCGTCGCGATAATGACAACGCGTCCGCAGAAGACGCAGGCACACGTCGCACATACGACCACGCCGATCACGACAACAGCACCAACAACAGCCACAGCACCGACACCACCACTGACGGTGGTGTTCACACGCGAGAACACGACGGTGCTGATGTTGTGCTGCGGCGTGCGCGACACCACGAGCGACGTCAGGATCTTGGCGTGCGCCACCGCTACAGCCAGGAGGTGTCACTCGAGGACAGCCTGAACGGCGTGAACGGACTGAACGGTCTGCTAAACAGCAGCGGCGGTGCAGCGAGCATCGTGGCCAACTCTGCACTGTGCTCGCCGTCATCGTCGCCACTGCCGCCCGCTGACGGCGAACGGGGGCGGAGTCGCTGTGTCAAGCGCACGCTCACGGCACTCGCGCTCTCTGATGACGACTTGCCGGACCACCACCACCACCACCGTGATGATGATGATCACGATGATGATGATGATCACGATGATGATGATGATGATGATGATGATGAGGGCGAGTTTGATGAGGACGATGATGACGATCGAACGGCCCGCGCTGAGCGGCGGCAACGGCGGCAGCAGCAGCAGGAGGAAGAAGAGGGGCAGGAACAAGAGAGGATAATGCAGGACAGACACGCGCGCAGCTCACGCGATGGCGATGGTGATGGGTTCTCCAGTGATGATGAGTTTGACTTGGACGACACGGCTGACAGCGCTCGAGGTGAGCATTTTCTGGCGAATGCATGCACTGGACATGCAGTTAGTCGTGTCATGCAGCCTGTTCGCTTCCTTCTGCTGAGTCGCGCGCTTACTAACCCATTCTCTGTGCACACATGTGCTGGCGTGTGTGCCTGCTTGTGTGCGTGTGCGTGCGTGTTCTCATGCTCAGTGCCCATGGTTCGTATCCGTTCGCGCCCCGTCCACCTCCGCTCCAACCCCAACGGCATCAGCAGTGGTGCTGACCATGATGGTGGCCACCTCAACAGTCGCGATGGTGGTGGTGGTGGTGGCGGTGGTGGCGATATCTGGACATCAACAGGCGGCAGTCCCGCCCACCATATCGGTGATGAAGACAGGTCGAAGCAGCGCGGACACGATGTATCAGACGTAGCAGCAGTTGGAGAGACACACGCGAAGAAGAAGACACGCGCACCCCACCAGCGCAGCACTCACGACGACCACGATGATGATGGTGGCGATGATGATGATGATGATGATGATGATGAATGGCACTCTGCATTCGACACAACAGACCACGAGTGGGAGAGCCAGGTTGCCTCGCACGCGGCCAGCCCGCTGGATGTCAAGAACGTAAGCCAAAAGTGCACGTGGGTGTTTGTGTGTGATTTCGAGGTTGCCTTGGCTTTTTTTTCCTTGATGCTGCACCTGTTTCTCAAACGGCAGCGTCATCCCGCTGAATAACTTTGCACTATTCTTCTCACCTTCCTCTCAATCCACCTCTTCCACTCCCCGCACTTCTCCATCAGACGTCCCGGGACCATGCTGCGTTTCAGCCGCTCATCGCCAGCAGCAACAACACGAGCGCAACAGCAGTCGCAGCAACAGCGGTAGGAGGTGGTGACCGTAGTGGCGATGGCGGTGGCGATTGGGCTGTGGACACGACAGCGGACACGCTGGTACTGAGCCCAACCATTGCGTCGCAGATGAACGATTCGCGTGCGAGCAACACGAGCGCAGCCATTGTCATTGACGTCGACCAGGGCGTCATCAGCAACAATGCCGATAATGATGGTGATGGTGGCGGTAATGGAGGTGAGAATGGTGGCGGTGAGAGTGGTGATGATGGTGATGGAAAGTTGAGTGTTGTGGATGCACACACCAGGCGTGATGGCGGCGGTGATGATGCGATGATTTTACCGCCACCGTCTCCATTCATGCGCCCAAGCAGCGCCACAGACCGTGACGATGGTGATGGTGGTGATGGTGTCATGGGTGATGGTGATGGTGATGATGGTGGCGCTGTTGTTGCAAAGCCGTCGGCGCAGCGGGCAGTTGAAATTGACCTCGATGCTGTCGTGAAGGAGCACAGTGGTGGTGATGGTGGTGATGATGCAGATGATGCAGATGATGCTGATCATGACAGGAATGGACGTGCGCATGGTGCTTGCAACCTTGATGGGGAATATGACGACGATGATGATGATGGGGAATATGACGACGATGATGATGACAATGACGACGACGATCAGCAGAACACGTCCTGGCGAACGCTTCCAGATGACGCTGGTGATGATGATGGTGATGTGCAGGACAAAACGCAGCCATCGCCATCAGCGCCACAGTCATCGACAACAACAGCGGCGAAGAGGACGAGTGGTCGTGGTTCGCTGCTGCTGCGGAAGCGCGGGAGCGGTCGTGTCAGTGGCGATGGGCACGATGATGGTGCAGGCCTGCAACAAGAGCAGCACGGAGAACAGCAGCAGCAGCAGCAGCAGCGAGAGCAACAGGGCGCGGTGGCATCAGGCGCAACACATCGTGGCAGCAGCGGGAACGCCAGCGGCAACAGCAGTCGTGGTGGAAGCCGCAGCATGTTGTTGAAGCGGCGCGGTGGTGGGTCGGGAGCAAGCGATAGTGATGGACCCGATGATGCTGATGGTGAACGTGGCGGCGCTGGTGGCGACCGGACTGGTCGTGGTGACGGGGACAAGCGTGGTTCGTTGTCGCGGTTGAAGGGCCGAAGTGCTGATCTCTTCATGGCCAGATGTAGGTTTTGCAGAAGGCGTTCTTGTGTGTGTGTGTGTGTGTGTGTGTGTGTGTGTGTGTGTGTGTGTGTGTGTGTGTGTGTGTGTGCGTGCGTGCATGTACATGCGGGCGTACGTGCATGTGTGTGCGTGCATGTGTGTGCGTGCATGTGTTTGTGAATGTGTGTGCGTGCATGTGTTTGTGAATGTGTGTGTGTGTGTGCGTGTGTGCACGTGCATGTGTGTGTTTGTGTGTTGCAGTTGAATTGCTGTGCTTCGTTTGTTTCATTTGTGACATGCGTTTCCTCAATTTGATTCACGCCAACACACCCCCTCTCCTCAACTGTGCTCATGCACACATGCTCCTTCCTTCCAACTCTTCTCCCTCCCCTACCTCTCCCTCCCACCACCAACACCGTTGTCATGCATCATCAGACGCCAACAGTCCACATATGAGCCGCCGGCAAAAGCCCATGTCCACATCCACGTCATCACCGCACACTCGCAGAACAAGAGCGTCGCTCCCATCAGCATCCGCATCATCAGCGTCAGCAGCAGCTGTGAGGACAGCGCGACACCAGGGCGGTGCTGGTGATGGTGATGATAATAGTGGTGATGGCGTTGGCACGCGTGGAGGTCGGAAGAGTGGCAGTCGACTCAGCAGCAGGCAGGCGAGCGGCAACAAAGGCGCTGGCAACAGCAGCAACAGGAACAGTATTGGTAATGGCAGCAGCAAGACGGGCGGTGCAGGGAATTCTGGCACGC